GGACATAATTGAGGCCGGCTAGATCAGTCATGATCGCAGCCGTAACAAGTAATTACAAGACTGTCACTAGCACGTGCTTTTAGCATAACCACGAACATTTCGTGACCTGGTATGCAAACGAAGGCCATACTGCTAGTCAGATCGACTACATTCTAGTTGGCGGGTATTCTTATGCCTGTCTTCAAAGGCGGAGACAAGAAGTGCGAGGACTATCGCGGCATAAGTCTCCTTGACGTTGCTGCGAAGGTCTTCACTACTGTCCTCAGATGATACTAGACTGCACGAGGCTCTAGGACGAGGCCCAAACTGCGTGGGCCAGATATTCACATTGAGGCGCACTCTGTAATATCGCAATGGTTTCCAGTAACCGGCGGTCGTCTGCTCTGTTGACTTCGCCGCTGTGTTCGATTCTGTTCACCGTGAGTCCCTGCGGCGAATAACGGAACTAAACTTTGCACCGGCCAAAATCATTGTTACGATCAAGGCCAACTATCGCTTCACCACCGCGCGAGTTCTGGTTCACAACAATCTCTCCAGACTGTTCGACAGCTAGTCTGGTGTTCGATAAAACTGCGCCATTTACTGGATTCTCAGAAGGGTCCTACGCGGTTTTGGCAGTGTGGAGTTTGCATCCGGACGCCAGCTGACTGACCTTGGCTGCACCGATATTGCCCAGCTAGCCTCAAGCTTCAGTGATCTCTAGTCTGTAGTATTATGGGTTGATGAGATCGCTACTGCGGTTGACTTGCGAATTAATACTGGGAAGACTAAATTGTTCTAAAGCTACATCAGTGACCAGGAGAAGGCACCCTTGTGGAAATAATGGTCCTAAACACGACGAAGTAAACAGCTTGAAATACATCGAGACGAGACTGTTGTCGAATGGACAGATTAAGGACGTTGTCTCCCGAATCGATGTTGCTTGCCAGATTTTGTCCATACCTGTGCTTGATACGGCTGAGCTCATGCCTGATCTAGACGGCCTCAATGATGTCAGGAAGACTACCTCCCTATGTGTGACGACTAGCGGCAACGGATCTGGAAAGCTCAACTCGTTATTTTCTCCAGCGACGGAGACCTAAAAACCGAAGGTTCAAGGACCGCTTCCATGTCTTGACGAACGGCGTCGAACTAAGTCTTCAGTTGCCCTCCTCTTCGACACCTCCAGGTGGGCTGCGGCACCAGGTCGAAGGTAGCATAACAAAGACCGTGAGGCAGACGATGGTGTCCAAACCACCTCAGTCTCATTAGAGACAAAGTCGGTATATTGCACTCGAGGGGTGGTCAAATGCCTCTAGTTTTCGTTTATTCTCAACGCGCAAAGCCCAGCCCACACATCTATTTACTAAAACTGACCGAAAGGAGACACGACATACATGGATCTATGTGGAGATCGAAATGTCGCGTCGGGTCCACATGCGCTTTTAGAGGATTGGGAAAGCCCGTCTAGTAATATCGACTGTAGATCACCAAAGCATGAGCCAGTAGGGTGATATCGTCGGTGGCGTCAAGGTCAGTCAGCTGGCGTCCGGATGCAAATGCCACATTCAAAACTGTCTAGGGCTCTTCCGAAAATCCGATCAATAGGTAAAACCGTAGCAACATTGGTTAGGTTTACGCTGCGATGGCTTTTGCATTTTGTCTTGTCTAGCCTTTTAAATACAGGCATAAGGATTTCCAAACCCGTCATTCGGAACTACTTCATCTCTCCATGTTTGCTCGATCACCTTATGTAGCCAGGGAGCCAGTATCAACACAGGACTGGCAGATTTCAGCGGGAATGCCGTCCCCCCTGAACGCCTTGTTGTTGCGCGGCCTCTGTATTACATCAGCAATCTTGTCTCCAGAAGAGAGGTCGCACAACACTGCATAGGCTGGAGAGGGATGAAACTCCGCTATATAGGAGTGTACTTTGGGCTGCTCATCAAAATTTAGTAGAACTTGATGTGCTCACACCAGCAATCGACCTGTCGAGCTGTCGACAATAAAGCCGCCATTTACTTCAGAAACGGTTGAAAAAGGTCGAGGGCTTACCCTCTAAACTTGGCGGGTAAGTTGGTTGAGTTTTCGAGTGTTACCGAGAAAAAGCATGGAAATAAGAGCCTAGTAGTGAATTTATAAGTGAATTAAGCCAAAAATGAGACGGGATGCTGAGACACAACGGAATATTCGGTGAGACCCTTGGTCACAAACAGTTAACCAACGATGGCCAATGAAACGAAGAATGGCTGCCAAAGTGTGCTTATAGAGAGCCCGAATCCTAGGGATCTTCGGCGGCACAGGACCTAACCAAGCATTACATGCGCTTCGCCAGTTTTAACTGAAGAGGAATTCACGGAAGAATTTATGACCACCATCCTCCCGTTAAGTAACAGAAGGGGAAGTTGAGGCTATTAAGTTCAGTAGCAATGATCCATAAAAGCAACCGAACCTCGCCAGAGCGTTAAAAGCATTGCAATGGTGATAACATTTTAAACCATATTGGATTCCTTTCACTTCGTAGGCAAAATATTTCTAACACGATTATGATATAAGTGACATTGACTTATGTGTATCGAAAAAAAACAATCCAACAGTGAAACTCACTGCAATCTTTTTTGAGCCTCAAATAGCGCTCGAGATTCTTCCGCCTGCTTTCGTCGAAGAGCAGCCATTTTCATTGAACTACCATCTTCGTAATCCTCGCTAATACCTAACGCATCCTTGAATACCGAATTTTTCAGTATACTGACTGCCGCGATTTCATGAGTGCCCTTTGGAATTAGTCGAGGTAGCTCAGGATTGTGTTCATTTTTGGGGTGGATTGCGTCAATGAAGCGCTTAGGAGCAACATCCTCATCATCAATCTTTGACAAAAGCTGCTTCCGAAGCGCTGTGACCTTTACGTTGATTTCTTCCTCGGTGTATCCTTGTTCTTCCATCAAAGTTTGAAGCTCAAAACACTTAACTTCGATCTTTCGCTTTTTTTCATGAAGTAAAATATCCTTGTTTGGTTCTTTAAAAGTAATGGCGTCCGACCGTTTAATGTCATCATCTGTTTTATAGTTTATCTTGTCTTTGAAGCTCGTGACGAACGCCAGATTTTTCTGAACGTATCCATTCGTCCCGCTGCCTCTGGGTGTCGCCAAACCAATCCCGTTGTACATTATCAAGACCTAGGTTGAATTTTGCGGTCTGTATGTGCAGACAAACAAGTTAGCAGGATCAGCTTGTTCCTTTAGCTCAACTAAGCGAAAAGTTAATTTTCTGGTATTAAACTTAGCGTTTCATTCATTCCCAGAAACTGAAATTTTTTACCTTATAGCTAACAGCGTAACCGGTCTATTACACGAGTGATTATTTAAGAAAAAATAAAAATAAACGCTATTGGAAGTAATCGGAAATACTAAGTGTTGCGATCAGTTTCGTTTATCAATGTAAGGCAGGTGTGTTATTGGGCATGGTATTTATTATGTTAAACGCTATACTACGCACATAAATCAAAAAAGTGTTTAAGGCAGAATCAAGTGAAGTCCACAAATCTTTAGGTAAAACGTTATATCTCATTTTCCAGGTTCATTTTGAAACACTTATCGGTCAACATTCATGTCGAATCCTTAACGTGACGGTGATATCACAGCCGTCGATCAACTGACAGTTGGAATCCAAAAGAAGCAATTAACATCTCCTCTCATGAATGCCAAACAGGAGGGTCTAATGACTGACGCCGGATGATGAGCTTGGTTGCATAATAAAATCAGCAGTCAGATTTAAGGCCTAAAAATGAAGAGTTGATAATTATAATTGTAGATTTAATGTCAACCGCCTAGAGTACACAGTCGGGGGCTCGGTACACAGGCGTGAATCGCAACATAATATACCGTAATATTGACCTAGTAACCTACTTGAAGTAAACGTCTCTGTAACAGCCCTGGGAAATGATTATCTAGATGAGAGATAAACAGGTTAATAGACCCAGAAAGAAGGCAGAGTTGATTGGGACTGAGTTCGAGTAAGCCAAGCGCACGATCACACAATTCATGTCAGCCAAACTGAGAGTAGTAAGCAATGGACGAAAGGAAGACAGCAGAAAGAGTAGATGCTATAAAATGCATACCACTTGACTGAAC